TACTTTCTGTAAAGTTTTTTTTTTTTTCACTCTGGAGTTTGAATTAGCAGACCGCTTGTACAAGACTTAAAAAGACATGATTTTCATGTATGAATTGATTCTATATAGAGAAAAGAGTTTCATTTCTGGGTTAGTTCGCGGTGTTATGCCTAGATAAGAAGCCTCAGGAATAGGACCATCAGTATCATATACATATAGAATTGACCTTTGGGACCTACCTAAGATTATGTAAGAAGGAAAGGATATTATTCTCCATCATTTTCCAGGGAACCGAGACAATGATGGAGGTGAACCTGGCCGGGCATTAGTACATTTCTAGCAAATTTCCATGGCAGATTGTTGAATCCTGACGAAGAATAGGACTTCGATCAAGGATTTGATCGAAAGCAAGCAAAGGCTCTTGATCTTCAAGAAGCATTTTTCACGAGGGAAAGAAATGTTAGGGGAGGAGTCATTACCGGCTAAAGCAGAATTCAACTCACCAGAGCTATATCCTGCAAACTCGACAACTCTTTAAATGCTTGCAAACATGGAAAACAAACATGGCACTGCATTTCCTTCCCCGAAACTGCCAACCAAAGTTGGTAAATTAAGTGCAAATTTCACATTAAATTAAGAAGTAAGAAACTAATAAGCATACTCTCTCTCGTTTTCACTTATTTATATTGATCTGATAGTTGATCCCGGCGGTAAAGTTTTAGAGATCGAGAGAAGAAGAAAGAGGAAAACTCAAATCATAGAAGCTCTTACATCAAATACTCCATATATATATATATATATATATATATATATATATATATATATATACTCATATGATTTGATTAAGCTGCATGGATCTCATCTATGATCATACATAGTTACGTAGCTACTGATTATTGCAAGTGCTATATATTATATTACCCTCTTTAACAATAAGCGACGCATTTCTTCTTACAATCCATGGTGCAGCCACCGCCACCGCCGCCGCTACCGTACCCTTTCCCTGATCGGCTAAAGGAGGTGAAGCACTTAGCAGGGCAGGTCAGCTTCTTGTTGTAACAAGGACCCTTTTCTTTGCAAACAACGGTAGGCCTAATGATACCGCCTTTTGAGTACCCTCCATTAGGACCTCCATACCCAGCTCCATAGCCACCACCTATGATACCGTTTCCCACCCTTTTCCAAACCCTGGGATGTTCCCAAAGTCAGGTCCTGGACCAAAGAACCCGCCAATCCACACATTGTTTCCTCCACCTTTGTTGTTGCTGCCTTTGCTGTGCTTTTGATCAAATGATAAGGGTTCGAATAAGTCAGGCCTTGCTGCTGCACAGAGTGAAGCTGTGATAAGCAGAACCGCCAAGACGGAGCTGATTTTGGATTCATTTTTTATCTCTTTTTCTTTTGACGATAGTGATGAGGAGAGAAGAAAGTGTTGCAGTGCAGGAATATTTAAGTGGGTAAGTGGGGATGAAAGGAAGTCATTTATGCAGAGCGAAAGAGACAGAGAGAGTTGGTGACAGTTGAGGACAGACGGTCCTCCATGAATGAGTAGGTTGGGCACAATTATGACCCTGTCTTCGTTTAGTGATACCACCTTTTCTTCTCTACTTTAAAAATTTCTTTAAACCTTGATTACTATTGCAATCAAGAGATAAGTTTCTTTCTTTGTCCAATGATTAGAGAATTTAAGCCTCATATACATCATGGGATGCATTCTATTTTGCCCAAATTTCAGGAAAAAGAAAGAACAGGAGAAATGGTAATAATTTCTTTCTTTGAGAAGGAAATTAAAATTGTCTTGTAGTATATATACAGTATAAAGTTAAAATACTTAAAAACTACTACACAGATCTTATACTTTGGATTGTGTGGTTATGTTTTCACTCATGGGACTCAGATTGAAAAGTCCCAGAATTTGTTAGCATGCAAGAGATATCAGCCATGGCTTGATATTCTTCCTTTGTTAGACAATGAAAAATGATAAAAACAACTTGGGATAAAAAGGTTTTGAAAACAGGATCTGGCCATGTGATTAGGCCACTTGGGGCAAAAATTAGTTTGGAACTTAAAAAGGTAGCATGATGCTGATGGATGGAGCAAGGGTTACCATTGCATAAAAGAGGGGCATTGACAATCGAGGCCTATGCCATCAGCAAGCAACAATGGAAGAAATTGCTATCCACGATTGCACATGGATTGCTAACTGTAACTATACTTGAATTTGAATGGTCCTTTTATCCTCCAGAAGAGAAGCATTCATGGATATCTATGAACAAATGTGGAAAATGTTTATGAAAATAATATTTTTAACAAATACTTGTACTTGTATGGAAAACAATTTTCTATCTCCATTTGGTGTTTACTTAGACATTTCATTTTGTAATTTTGCATCATGTACCTAATTCTATATTATCAATCAAACCCTAATTTTAAACTTTAAAATATAAAAAATTTAAAAGACGTGATACAAAATTATAAAAGGAGATAGACAACAAATAAAAGGTAAGAATTTTTATTAATACTCGTATATATAACATTGATTGTACGAAATATTAATATGTAATAATTAAAAACTTTAGTTTAGCAAAAACGATTAATAAGGGGGCATAATTATTCATTGTCTCGACCTAATAATCACCCAAAAACGTTAAAATTTACTTTATTCAAATTTGGAAGTAGATTAATTATATGGTACTGTCAAGTACCGAATACCCACCCCTTGCTAGTCAGCAATAAAGGAAATTTATGGGATTGTACTGGAGAAAGAAATCAAAATGAGCAAATTTATTGCCATGTCTCAAACATGGCTTAAATACATTGAATTTCCAATCAACAATACTCATTAAAGATGATGGATATTTCTGAATCAAAATGCTGCATGCATATCTGCAGACTGCACAGCAAGAAAATATTGCCTCTAAACTTATTCTATGAATTTTCTGCTTAGACTAGATGCAATGGGACTGGTTCGCATGATCCACCCTCTTACAGCATTTAGCTAGCTGACTTAGCCTTTGTTATCTTTTGGTGCTCCAGGGGTTTGGCATGGTTACAGATTCTTACACCTGCTGGCTAGAAAGGAACATGATTTCTTATAACAGTCTGAAGATGACAAAGGGTTCACTAGGGGAGCTTGCAACTAGTTGCTGGACATGAATGGAGCAAGTTGCTAGGAATCATTGAATACCACAGTACAGCTATAATCCCACAGATGGAACAGGAACCCGATAAGGGGAGGGGCCGGCCATTGAATCCCAATTTGGCATTTGATCGATCAAATCTATACAGATATGTCACTAAATATGCTTCAGTACATCCAATATTTCCTCACCTACTTATTTATAGCTCTTGACTATTAGGACATTACCCTCTGTACCAAGGAAGAACCATCCCATCTTGATTGCTACAAATTTTTTTCATAAGTCAAAATTGTCTGTCCCTGCAGTATCCATGGATTGCTCATTTGCAATCAATGATACGTACCTTGGGTTATTGTTTTCAAAGGTTT